AGTTCCCTGAATTGTGACCAGGTGACAGCGAAGGAACAACAATATAGATTCGAGGCAGAATGATGTGTGTCTTGAAGAGGACCATGGTGGTATCCCCACATATCTGCTGCCTTCACCTTGCTAGATGGAAGTGGTTGTGGCATTAAAGATTTGGAAGATGCTTGTCAAAGGAGCCTGGTTACGTTACTGCAATCCATCTTGTGGATGATACACACATTGATGGTGAAGGGAATGAATGATGAAGTGGTGGATGGGCTGCCAATCAAGTGAGCTGCTTTGTCCTGGATGTTATGGAGTTTCTGGAGTGTTCTTGGAGCTGCAGTAGCCAGCCAAGTGTATTCCATTACACTCCTGATTCGTACCTTTAAGATGATGGACAGGCATTAAAGGGACAGGAGGTCAGCTATTCACTGCAGTTATGTAGCGGGTCCAGTCCAATTTCGAATCAGTGGTAATCCCCAAGATGTTGATCATGGGATTTTCAATGGCGTACTGTTGAATGTTGAGCAAAGAAGATTAGATCCCTTCTTCTTGTTAACACTTAATATTTGGAACGTTGGTGATGTGAACGTGACTTGCCACTGAGCAGCCCAAGTCTGGATATTGTCCAGATCTTGTTACATATAGACTCAGGCTGCATCACTGGCTGAGGTCATGAATAGTGCTGGACATTGCATAATTACGAGCAAATAACCCAGTTCTGACTTTATGCTAAAGGGAAGCTCATTGATGAAGCAGCTGAAGATATTTGGTCACAGGACACTGTCCTGAAGAACTCCTGGAGAGATGTCCTGGAATGGAGACGATTGACCTCGAACAATCACAACCATCTTCTTTTGTGTCAGGTATTACTCTAGCCAGCAGAGAGCTTGCCCCTTAATCCCATTGTCTTCAAGTTTGCTCATTCTCCTTGATGTCATGCCCAATCAAGTGTTGTCTTCATGTTAAGAGTTGTCAGTGTCATATCATGAGTTGCTGGTGCATGTTGAACCTAATTAGAGCTGCTAATTAATGCCTGCCTATCCCTCTTCGGGTGCTGGAAGTAACTAGAACAAAGATTCTGACTTCCAAAAAGAGTGGTCATGATATAACAGGTGAGACAGCCCAGGTTCTTCCACACTGTGCCAGAGATTTTGGTGTAGGAAGTGGATAGGAGGAGCGAGACTTCTATCCACATGGAGAGAGGATGCCCTCAAGGTAAGTCTTGAGTGGGCTATGGCGTTATGGTCAATGCTTGCAGTGTAGATCTGAGGGCCTGAAGACAGGCACCATTTGTCACCCGCCAACAATACCAATCAGTACTCATACCTCACACTCATAACCTCATTTGGCATTCACATATTTAGAACTGCTGCAAGCCTCACACCCATGTCCGACAGCTGTACCAGTGTCAGCCATTCAACCTGTGACTGTAATGGCTGCTTTCTCCTCCTTTCCATCTTGTGTCTTATACGTCCTCTTCTTCCTCAGATGCTTGCTGTATACTGAGTATCAAGTGCCTCGAGATGGTGAGGTCCCACAGTCTGTAGCTGAGCACGATGAATCGTGAAAGGTGCTCTGGAAAATATTACAGGATTCCTTTGGACCGGCCCAGCCAGTGTTTGTTAAGAACTTCAATAGATTAGTCAGGGACATTCCATGTAGCAGTATGACTCAGATTTATTTACGTGTGAGCGGGTGGCACGTTGGAGTCATTAGCCAGGCAGTCAGTGGTAACCCTCGTCGCCCAATCACCATTTTAATGGTGACTCAAGTGAACTGGCACAGAATATAGCTGTAATTCCTGTTGATGCATAGTGCCTTATAATGCGCTTCACATAGTTCACCACCAGGTTAAATATGAGGAAGGAGAACTTTTTACACATGTGGCACATCTCTGCATTAAATACACTGGCCACAAAGCAACATATGAGGAGTCAATGCTACCTTGTATCATGGAGAAACCCACTGTTAGCAAAACCAAATGCTTGCTCCATCTGTTTCTATTTGAAAAAGAGAGAATGCTATGCATCACCCTCTTTCAGTTTTGATCTTTCACCAAACTCTCACAGTTTTCTCTGTGATATGGCTTCATTGGTTGAGATTCATAACCACTACTAGTAGAGCCAAGGAAACATGGTAAGTTACTGAGAAGGAAAGACGATTGAAATCATCTGTGTGTGTTTGTTTTTATAACAATCTGCTTCAACATGGCCTTTGCAGTTTCACTTGTATAAAAGCAAAATACTGCAAATGCTATAAACCTGAAACAAACACAGAGAATGCTAGAGAGGGTCAGCAGATACTCAGCAAGTATGGAGAGAGAAAGAGTGTCAACATATCAAGGCCAGTATGACTCTTTAGAAGTGAAGTCACACTGGACTCGAACCTTAACTCTGTTTCTGTCTTAACAGATGCTGCCAGATCTGCTGAGTTTCTCCAACGTGTTTTTTGCAGCTGCATTTTTGGGTACCTTCCAAATGTAAACACGAAATCATGATAAAAATACAAATCCAGTATATTCATCCAATTTCACAGCATGAAATAATCAGCCAGAACAACAGCCCTACCATTTCCCACATTAAAGTCAATCCTTGGTTAATTCAGAGATGATATTTAAACAATGTCAGTGGACAGAGAGCACAGAACTGATGTAGACTGGTAAATTTTGGACAACAACAGAGCAGATGCCAACTTCTGGGTAAGGGGGAAAGAGAGAGAGAATGTCTCAGGAAGATGATGCAGGAGCAATTGGTTAGACCTGCAAGTGCCAGTTAAGCCATATTACAGAGAAGATATTGAGGGTTTTGCAGAAGATCACAACCTTCATCATTAATTCTACTTACTACCAACATACTATGATAAATACAGAAGCAACAAAGACACATTGTTCTGCAATGAACTGAAACTAAAGATTTCCTCATACCATCCTGTCCCTGAAGCACGTGTCACTTACACACCAGCTCTGGATTCAGTAGGGCCACGTTATCCTGGGCATAGTTTGCCCCTGAACAATGTTTGGTCAATCAAGGCTGATGCTCTGGTGCAGTTCGGAGGGAATACTGCACTTTAAGAACTGCCAGCTTTACAATGAGACATTAACTGAGGCTCCCTTTGCCTGCTATTTCCCAGGATTTCCATGTCCCTTCTGCTAAAGTTACAGCAGGTGAGTGGGGGGAATGCTCTGAAAAATGTAATCCCTTGGTATTACACACTGCAGGATTCCTACCCTCTAATTGGTCCTTGTAGTGCAGTATTTATAATGGCTAGCCCAATTCAGTTTCTGATCAATGGTAACCCCCAGGATGTTGATCGTGGCAGATTGATAATGCCTTTGAATATTAAGAGGTTAGATTATATTGTGGGAGGTGATCACTGCTTGATACTTGAATGGCATGAATGTTCCTTGCCATTTGTCGGCCCAAGCCTGGATATTGTCAAGACCTTGTTACATTTGGTCCTGGACTGCTTCAGTACCTGAGGAGTTGTGAATGTTATTTTTTCTTTATTCATTCATGTGGTGAGGGCTTTGTTGGCTAGGCAGCATTTATTGCTCATCCCTAATTGCCCAGAGGGCAGTTAAGAGTCAACCACATTGCTATGGGTCTGGAGTCACATGTAGGCCAGAGGAAGTAAGGATGGCAGTTTCCTTCCCTAAAGGACATTAGTGAACCAGATGGGTTTTTCTAACAATCAACAATGGATTCATGGTCGTCATTAGATTCTAAATTCCAGATATTTATTGAATTCAAATTCCACCATCTGCCACGCAGGATTCGAACCTGGGCCCCCCAGAGCATTATCTGGGTCTCTGAATTAACAGTCCAGTGATAATACTATAAGGCCAGCATCGCCTCACCTGAAGTGTTGAACATTATGCAATCATTAGAGACCATCGCTGTTTCTGGCTTTACGATGGAGGGAAGGTGATTGAAGAGCAGTTGAATATTGTTGGGACTCGGACATTACCTGAGGGAGTTTGCAGAGATATTCAGGAGTTGAGATGACTGACTTTCAACAACTCCAAACATCTTCCTTCCTGCCAGTTCATCTTCATACCTCCTCATTCAAACATGTTCGATTACTCTGACGTAATTCTGTTCTGTTACCCTGATGCCCTTAGGCAAGGTACGATTTGGTTGATTAGCATGCAAAACAGAACTTTTCACTGTATCTTGGTACATGTGACAATTGATATCAAGGCTGCGTTTAACTGGGTGAGTTCCTGCCAGTCATGACTCCAACAAGTGGAGAACCTTCCACCTGATTCGCATTGATTCCAGCTTTGCTCAGGCTCCTTGTTACTACACTCAGTCAAACACGGCCTTGATATCAACTGTCACATGCACCAAGATACAGTGAAAAGTATTATTTTGCATGCTAACCAAACAAGTCATACCATAACATATGAGGAGGTATGAAGATGAATGGATATTGAACCTTGGGCCTCGTCAACATACCCAGCACGTGTTACCAGTGCAAGGAATTCCCCAGGCAGTATTGCCAAATGTAGACAACAATACCTAGCAGCCTGCCTATCTGGCAATAGCTTTTGGGCCAGTCCTGAGAGGGGGAATTAAACTAGGCTACAGTGAAGAAGAGTGAGGATTGCAGCTCCTTTGGATTTAAGGGAGCAAGCTGTAATAAAGGATCCTGAGCTTTTACCACTCATCAGCAACCACCTTCAATAAATTTGCTTTTAGGCATGGGAGTTTCTAATAATTACTAGTAGGACCAATATATGTGCACAATAAATGCAAACCATCATACTGCTAAATTAGTATGCTTTTCACTACTTTGTGCCAAACAGCTGATTGCAATGCATAACAATTTCTACCCCATTGTCTCAGGATAGAATCAACTGCCTATGCCAGCCATTATTATGAAGTAACATTCCATCTTTGTGCTTATGCAGATGTAACTGTAAGTTGCCATGGCATTGCCTAGCAACCACAACAAAGCACTAATGACAAACTTGGCCAATATCTGATCTGGCTTCGTGTGCAAAAGAGAAACTTGGAGTTGCAGTAATGACAGAAAATACCACTTGCACACGGAATTCTGAGACTAATATTGCTCAGGTACCACTTCATCATATCATTGTACATCACTTTCTTTTCTCTCACAGTTTCTTCTGTTTTCTATTTCTGGCACCTTTCTATTCTCTGTCCATCTTCTCTGGTGCTGAGCCAAAGTGGTCAATCTTCAAGTGTGGTAATTAAGTCACTCTTGGCAATCTACTGAAATCGAGAGGCACTGGATGACAATTGAGCAAGGAGCTGTGGGAATTTTGTTGATCCAATCCAGGGTTCACACAGTCCAATCCTAGCTCCCCATTCTTTCACTTTTCCTGTCCCGAGCAAATTTCCACTCCACATGAGATTGGATGAATGTCCATTGTAGAAGAGCCTTGGAAACTGGGACACCCCATCAGTTTTTACCATTGCTTCTATCAACCATGTACAACAATACTGCAGGTGATCAGGAGAGTTTCCATGAAATTTAGCCCTTGTAATCTATTGGATAGATGAATTTTCCTGTGTACAGACGGTGCCACATTTGTTGAGTTTCTGCAGCATTTTCTGTTTTAATTTCAAGTCCTGACTTAAAGAAGACTCATTTACAATTATTTCATTTAAAGATTTTTTTTTTTAATATTATTAATTTGACTTCAATGTTCTTTGCCAAAGCCTTCCACCTCTGTGGCCCACGTGTTCACGTGACTTCCCTCCAGTGCTCTGCTATTGTCTTCACTCCCTCTTCTCTTTCCATCTACCACCTTTGCAGCTCCTACATTGTCTCCTTCCAGTCTCAACCCCCATCAGGCCTCACCCCCATTACTGCTACTTGCCTGGCCTCACTGTCCCTTCTCCTTGATCCCACCTTCCTTTCGATTTGTGTGGTTAGCATGCAAAACAATACTTTTTGCTCTATCTCGGTACATGTGACAGTAATAAATCAAATAAAATTACATCCAGTTGGAAATGGGCAGGTTGAATGGCTTTGGGTAAGTTACCCAATAATTTCTTACCTGGAACCCAACAATCCTGGATTTTAAGCTCTTCAAAATGACTACAGCCACACTTGGGAGTGGGAGCAGTAAGTGATGGAGGGGAGCTTCAATTTCAAGTGATGTGAGGTTCTTGTAAGGGCAACAGCATGATACAAACCCCTGCAAGCAAAACATATGGACCTCAAGCATTTACCTACTGTGTGCCATTTCACATCCTTGTCCCAAGCATTCTCGATCATAACAGACAATATTACAAGTCAATCTCATTGTCACTGTAATGCAGACAGTTGAGACCACATTGACTTGGATGGCAACTTAGGCCAGGCTGGCACGGTCTAGTGTCGTGGCCTCTTCTGACAGTCCTGGAGGAAGCGGCATTCTCCTCTGAATTATCATATCCACCAGGACTTCCAGGTCCTTGTCTGCAGAATGAGGTGCAAATTTCCCCTTATCTGACATGTCAGTGCTGACGTGTTAGTAGCTGTATCCTATCACTAATATTCCTCCAATCCCTCATATGACTAGAGTGTAAACTGAGCAAACTTTGTGTACAATTGACTTAGCCATTCATCACCAGTTCTGGCTTGAACACATCAAAAAATTTCTCCTCCCCTTCTCCCTCTCAGCTAAAACCAACCACTATTCTATCACTGTTCTGAAGGGCAAAGGTTATTATTTGTCAGATAGTGACCGACTTCTGTTGGCTTTTTCACCCTCATTCACATGAAGAGATCATGTATCTCACTGTGTTTGAGACCAGCCGTTCCACTTCCTGTTTACCTTCATTAATTTGACTATAATTCTCTTCTATTTTAGCCCTCAGCCCATGTCTCTCTCTTCCTGCAGCCCCTTCTCTCTTCAAGATCTTTTTGTCCATGAAACTTAACTCTTACTCTCTTAATCCCATTCCCATGTAAATCCATTTCACTGTTCACTCTTTCCTAGTCAGCAGATTACCTCTCATTGTAAACAGCTCATTCTGAGCGGCTACTTTTCCCTTTTGAAATCTGTAACCAATATTAATTTCCTCAAGAACCTTACTCTGAAGTCTCTGCTACTGACTCTAACCCCAATTCCAACCTCTCCTTTCTGTGCAACATTCTTAAATGAGCTAGCAGCTCTCTCCTTCATGGTATGTCTTTCACAACTCACTGCTTTCATCCCTACCACAGCACAGAATGGTTCATAATGAATCATAAAAGACATTCTTCACGATTGTAACTATCGTGCATTGTTCTCCTCGTCCTCCTTGACTTCACTGTAATTATTGATGAGTGTAAGCCCACGATCCTTTTGCCTTTCTCAATTCTCACTACTGTTTTTTTTTATCAAATCATAGCCACAGTATTTGTTGAAATTCTTACATCCTTTCATTGTCACCTCTGGTTTCCCCTTCGTATCTATCCTTAGCCCCATTCTTTCCTCATTTACTGATTTACTTCTTGGTAATACACATTCTGGCACTAGTTATTTTCAATTTATTTGCAAATAACGTCCAGCTCTACCACTCCATCGTATTCTTTGATCCCTCATTCACTTTGTTCTATCAAACCATCCAACTTGTATTCGTGGACAAGCCTTCATTTTCTCTGGTTTTGATCTGACTGAAGCTATTTTCAACCCCCACCACAGGGTTTTATAATATTTACTTAACAGTCCAAGGTGGAATTGGGAAATTGGTTCTTTATAATAGAGAAGTTGGCTTTCCAGTGAAAATAAAAAGGTAGAGGGAGACAGACTGCAGAAAACAATCCAGACTATCCACGCTCAGAGACAAGACAAAGTAGCTTAGGCCCATGATTGTTCTTTGGAAAAACTTACTGGAACGTGAACATTGTGTGATTACTGGTTGAGGGCCGGGCCAGACTCATTTAGTAATATTGAGAATTGGTCATGACATTTACTACAGGACTAGAGAGAGTATAGCATTTGTCTTCAACTTCTTTCTGCGTGGTGTAATGCCATTCTGAATCGCTGGTATATCAGTACCACAGGCCACCTGCTTCTTCCTGAGAGCTGTCAAATTAAATCGAGACTGTAAGCACAATATCAGAAGTGTACGTTTGTATTTATTTTCAAGGAAGCATCAAATTGTTGTTCTTTGATATGGCATGACATGTATAAATATGTTATTTATAACTATTTGGATTTTTTTTTTCTAAAAAGGGTTCTTCTGATAAACCATTTGTTTTCCCATTTTTATCTTTTCATGCCATCTCTAAAATTCACAGGAGGTACTATTCTTTATTTAAAAGATGCATTTTTGAGATTCCTCCCACTCACATGCATTATACAATAGTCTTGTTGTGAGTGGGAGTCTTGAGAATACATTGTCAAAATTGGCTTACTGTGCATATTTGCCCTAAATGTTTCTGATTTTTTTTCTTAAATATATCAGATGAACGTTTAAGAGGCATTTAGATAGACACACAAACAGGCAAGGAACAAAGGGTATGGACACTGTGCAGACAGATGGAATTAGTCTAGAATGGCATCATGGCTGGCACAGACATGGTTGGCTGAAGGGCCTGTCCTGTGCTATATTGCCCCATGTTCTATAATATCCACAATATCTTTTTAGTCCCTGCAATTTCCTGTCTGAGTGCATTTTTCAAGCTGCCAGAAACTGCCCAGTTTCTTTAGAGTGGTAGGAGGTAAGATTTTTGCCTTTGTGGGTATATATCGTGAAAGCCTGGACATAAGGGATAACTTCCGGCTTATGAAGTTTGAACTGAGTCCCAGGGTCTCCTTAACACAAGCCTACAATGCTCATGTAGAGGGACCACAGTGGAGCATAGGAGTCCCAGCATGGGTGACAAAACAAGACCAATGGACATAGTCCATTACCATCCTAGGAACTCAGTCAGCCTCTCTTCTCTCTTACCTATCAACACCAGCAAGTTTCAACCTAAGAGAGTATTAGGGAAGATGTTCACAAATTGGGTGGTAGGAGGGTATCCAATGTTCTTAGTGCCCATTACCTCAAAACCTATTATCCTGCCTATAAGGAGCCTCATCTATCATGAACACACATCTGGATGACATTCTGCCTGATGTTGTAAATATTTAGAACAATGGACAGAAACGTTTACTCAAATGTGGCCAGATTTCTGCAGATACTCTTATTATGTGAGACATCCTGTCAGAAAGCCAGGCCTGGATTTTCACAGAGATAGGATGACTCCAGGAACCTTTTTAAAAAAAACGGAACCTGGATCCAAAGGTCTCAACCCAATTTCCAGCCGATCCTATTTTTGTTGGCAGTGGAATGTGGGTGGGGTTTGAGTCATGCTGGTGGGAAACATAAACACAGCAGAGCCACTTGAAATTTGTACTGACTTCCAACTGCCCTCATTTTCCCTGCGATAAGAGTTTTAGAGTCATTGAGGTCTACATGACAGAAAAGGCTCTTCGGCCCATTGAGTCCGTACCAGTCAAAAACAACCACATAACTATATTCTAATCCCATTTTCTAGTACTTGGCCCATATCCTTGTATGCCTTGGCATTTCAAGTGTAGGGGGAGTGTACTGTGGGAGTCACAATTTTATGGAGGAAGCACCAGCATTCTTAAAGGTTGGGTAAAGTCTGATCTGAAGTTATTTCAATCGCCAACCCTTAAAAACATTTAGAAAGAACTGGACTTCAGCTGCCAGAGTGAAACCAAGATGTGCTACTGCAGTGCCTGAAGTCAAATATTGATGAGGTCTTAAGAAGTTGTTCAAGGACTATCTGAGTTTTACGTGGTTACTGAATAGAAGTTTATTTGGTTTTATAACAGACTGCATTCACAAGCATATTTAAAATCTTTCAATGGGTTTTGTGAATGAGAATTGATATTTTTTCTTTCACATGTGTAAAAGATGTCTATTAGATTTTAAATATATTTTTCTAATTGCGGTGTAGATCCTGATGCCTGCCCATAGTAGGAATTGAGGGAATGGTAATGTATATATTAATGGGTTGTGAATTAGCATGAATGTATGATGTTGTATAAAGGTGACAAGAAGGGTATGGGGACATGTTATGTACAGGGAAGTGAGGCTGTGTGAGGTTGAAAGTTAGAAGGTCTAAAATCTTTGAAAATGACATGGACAAAGCCTTGGGAAAATGGGATATCTGGCATGTTAATCTCTTGCACAACTGTAAATACAAATGCATAGGATTTGTTTGACATAGCCATCATTATCCTGTTTCCCTCCAAAATAGCCTATTTTAATCGGGCCTAGACAATGTGGACTAGAGTGGGATTTGTGGCAGAATTGTGCAGAAAGTCCGCTAAGGCTTAGGTCGCTCCACCTTTTATGCATTTGCCAAGTGGTGAGTCAAGTTTCTCACTAGCAGCTACATGGCAACTTCAGTTTGCTGCTCCAAAAAGCTTCCATGTTGGACCCAGAGCACCAACATCTTGGGCACACTTCATGGACACTAGCCAAACATATCCCACATGCATGAACCTTGGCATCTGACATGTGCCAGACTCTGAGAGCCCTCACAGAATGCCTCCAATCTGCTTACACTAGGCTTCTGCTACTTCAATGTTGCACCACTGAGTAATATTGCAACGATCATCATATGGGGCTGCGAGGACATTGCTCACTTGGGGACATCCAGCGGCTCATTGCCTAAACCAAGTCTGCACCTTCAGCGTGTCTGCTTGCTGTCATAGTGCTCACTTACTCTGAGCCAACCTAGATGCTCATAAGATCACTGCCTTGCATCACCCTGCTTGTCTTTCCTTGCTGCAATTTTCCACCCTCAGCCAGAGATACTAGGCTCATATTACTGCTATGTTGCCTTCCCATTTAGCGCAGACACAAAGGCAGGAAGCTCATCATGGTTGACAGCAGTCCTCAGTAAAGTGAAGGGGGATAGCTCGTGGGATCCTGGCACTGTACGCCAAAGGCAGCCTCCAGTTCCAGTTCACAGGATCAGACACAGTCAGTCTGCCAATTGAGGTGGTCAAGTCAAGGTGCTGTTCACATAAGGAATAAGGAACTGATTGTCAGGCAGCCAACCACCTGTCTTGACTCTTTCCCCTCTTGTGGGCTGTTCTCCTCCTGGAACGAGAGAGAGGTGGGTATTACGGTTGATGAAAGTGGGCAACATAGTTGTTAGTTTTGGTACAAATGGGGAGGTGACGCAAGTGTGTGAATGGGCAGCTCTGAAGGATTGTAGGGTTAGAGGACAAGTGGTGAAAATGTTGTGAGAGTGGTGGAGGCTTGGTGGGAGGTGGTACAGTAGCAGAGAAAGAGAGTGTAAGTTATTGAAGAGAAGATGGTGGCAGTTACAATGGTGGAGTGGAGAAGGTCATTGACCTTATTCCTACATTGCTCAGCATTCCCCCAGATGGGAGCCGGGAGGAAACATCAGACCAGACTGGCGTGGTTTGGTGTTGTGGCACCCTCGGCTGGTCCTGGGGGCAGAGGATGTATGACCTCTGCCCTACCATGCCCTTCAGGCCTCTGCCCACAAAGCAGGGCAACAAATTTCCCTTATTGGCAACATTCAGGTCTGTGCAGGGCAGCTCCAGACTGACAGCTCTGTCTGGTTGTATAATTGGCTTCTAAAGAGGATACTGGTGCCAGGGATGATGATCTTTTCTGGAATATCCCACCAATGGTTAATTCGAGGAAAGGCAAGTGGCAAATCAGGGCTGAAATCAGACAAGAGGGACAGTATAAGCCTGTGTAGTTAATGAAACGATTTTGGTAAGATACTGCTAGAATGCTCACTAGCCTCACGGTGGACTTCAAAGAAAGAAACTCAACACAACCACCAGTGAGCCAGAAAAGGTAAGATGCAGCTTCATATCAGTGTTTTCAATGGGCCCACTGTACTTCTCCCAACAACTGTCTGAGTTAATTCATTGAAAAAATGTGTCACGATTGTGGTTTTCCATGCAGATTTCTTCTCATATTCCAATTCTGTGACATTTACTACCTGTTTTGTGAACTCTGCATCTTTCTTGTTTGCCAGGATTTATGCTGCTTGCCAGGATTTGTGCTATTTTCTGCATTTTATAAGCTTTTTATTTTAGCTTTATGGTGTCTCTTACCTCTTTTGTTGTTCATGGCTGTTTTTTTGGCAAGTAAAGCTCTTTCTTTTTGGGATATAAACTGGTTCCATATTGTATTAAATTACACCTCCCACTGATCTTATGTCGTTTTACCCATTAGCAGATTTACTCAGTCTACTGTGAACAGTCTCTGGCTGATTGCACTGAAGTCAGTCTTACCTAAATCTCGAACCTTACTTCTTGTGTATTTTCAAAACACTACATTGAGCTTGATTATATTATAGCCATTATTAGATAAATTCTCATTCACTATCAGGCTGTTTACTAAAATTTGACTTGTGAATCATTACTAAATGGAGTTTGTCATGCTCCTCAGCTCACTGTTCCAACTGTGATTGTAGAAAATTTTGACATCTTCGACACACTGAAGAAATTAATTACCCTTCTGTCACGCGCCAGTCTGTTTATCCCAATCTATATGAAAATCAAAATCCCGAAATTGTTACACTGCCTTAGCTCCATACTCATGTAATCCCAGCATATATACAATATTCCTCTTCATGTCTGCTAACAGGAAGTCTTAAAAACTTTTCGTTTCTTAAAATTTCTACCTGTACAGACTCTGCTGTCTATTTATCTTTCATTACATCCTCTCCCAGCAGTGAAGGAAAGTCGCACTCAATCTCAAAGTCTGTTCCTTTCCCTTTACCATTTTCTTTGTCTTTCCTACACACCTTATGCCTTGGCTTATTTTTGCTCCTTTTACTGAGTGCCTTTCTCACATGTCTAAGTAACAGCTACCATATCATTATCCTCCAAGTTGAATTTGTGTCTGCAGTACATTCAATTTCTTCTCTATACTGGAACATTTGCACTAAGAACGCTTTTTTGGGCCACCATTTTCTGCTATTATGTTTTACTTATACATTCCTTATTTCTTTCTCCAACCTTAAACACTTTACGTTTATTTCATTTATTTTTATTTATTCTCTTCCCCTTTACCTGTTTTAAGCTCAGTTTCTGATTGTTGTTGTGCTTGTCTATTTGTTTTTAAACTTTATTAATACCACTTTTACCGTCTTTCCCATCTGAATGACTTGTTAATTTAAAAGCCTTCTGACCACTCTTTTTATCCCTTCCATTAAGCCTCAGCCAGTTTCAGGTAATTCCCTAATCCCTTGTCCCAATACAATTGCCTGAAAATGAATGAAATTGAACCCCTGATATAACAAAGTGTAGAGCTGGATGAACACAGCAGGTCAAGCAGCATCAGAGGAGCAGGAAAGCTGATGTTTTGGGTCTGGAACCCCTGTTTCCCACACCACTCCTCCAGCCATGTATTCACCTCCCTAATCTGATTATCCCTGTGCCAAATCACATGTTATAACCTATTGAGGTCATCTTTCATTTAGCACCTAGTCACTGGAGCTTTTCTTGCCTACTTCTCCCGTATTGTTTGTCCAAACGTGGATCCCAAGCACTGGACCCTCCCCCTTCCTCTCCACATCCTTTCAAACCAGTTTGAGGTGTCCCTCCCTTTTGCACCAGGTTGGAAACATACCATGTGGGATGATAGATCCTGTTGATAAAGAGTTCTAAAAGTCCTAGAACTACCAATTTGTGCTTCCCCCTCCTCCTTTTCCCTTTGGACAGCTCATACTCCAAGATGCCATCATGTATCTGGCCATCTGCTGGTTCCTATACAAGACAGAGACTTCAAATTCATGTGTGTTTGCACAGAAAAAATCTCACTGTTCACAAAGTTCCACATCCTGCAGTTCAGGTACACAACTTGCTCTGCCATGTATTGGTCTAGATTATTTTATATTTTTATATACACTTGCCAGTTTGGTACATTGTTTTGTTTTTATTTTTCAAAACATTAACTTGCACTGAGCACTAGTCAAAATGATCAAGTGCACATGCTGCCAGCTTACACAAGCCACGGCAAAAAAAGCAATTCCTCCTTTCCCCTCTGCACCAAATTCCCATTCTCACCAAATTGACAACTTTTGCATTCTATTTATGATGAAATCCTGTACAACTGCACTAAACTCTGGATAATTCCTTACCAGCAATGCTTACCAGAAAATTCCCACACTCAGGAAATTCGTAACTTTTGAACTCTATTTACAATGCACTTCCTTTACGACTGCAAATTCCCATCGTTAAATAAGGAGCAAAGAAAAAATAACTGTTTTTTCCTGCCAGAATCATTTGGTTACCTTGTATTGTTATAGAGCAGTGCAAATTAAATAAGTATTACACTGGTTAAGTATCTGCTAAGGTACCTTGGAGATTTCTTAAGAACAATGAATAATTACCATAAGAAAAGACATCCTTTTCTTTGTGCGTAGGGAGTTTGAAAGATTATAATGATTTTCTAACTGTTTTTACCTTTAGGTTATTTTTTAAAATAGTTGGTTATTTTTGATTGAGGTACAAGTTATAAAATAAACTAAATATTGTACTAGTTCAACTTTTTCAGGACCGCAGTATAATTTGTTTGGGCTTGTACATAGTGGCATTCACAATTATGACACTTGCATTTAAAGCAGAAATATGAAACGTTTATGTATAAACACTGCTGAAAGTCTCTGGGTTACACAGATTATAATTACGGCTGCCATGAACATGTGACATGTACGTTTGGAGTTCTCTCTCGGGAATTTTATGCTGCTTCTTCCTATAAACTCTTATTTGTTAATGTGCTTGAATTGCAGATATTGCTATGTGGAAACTTGTCAGCAATGACTGATGTTGAAACCTCGTATGCAGACTTCATCGCTTCAGGAAGGACCGGACGGAGAAATGCACTGCACGACATCCTGGGTTCTCCATCTGGTGTAAACACAAGTGACTTAAGCCTTAAATTAGCAGAGCTGAATATTGATAAAAAAGGTGAAAATGTTTGATATTATCAGCTCTTTTAACTTGTGTTCTTCGTGTGTTGACGTGATCTTTGTAATCAAATTATTGGAGAAGGAAAGTCTTTGTTGTCCATCATTTAGACTACAGGCAGTAAGTTAACTTATAAGTAAACCAACTGAGAGATTCAGATAACGTTCTATCCTTAATTAATTTGGTTTTGGTTAACATTCGGGTTATTGATCACTATTTACTGATCACTGTCCAGTATCAGTGATGATAATTGGATATTGGTATATTCTATCTAGGGAGATGTGTAGGTAGTAATGTAAATAAACCATTTTTAGCTATCTTTAGCTTTGATGTTTTTTGCAGTCTATTAAGCCTGAGACCTATGATCTTGCAGGATATGGACTACTTTTGTTTTAAATGCCACTACTCTTTAAAGAGCATAGAACATTGCACCACATAATTATATAATCATCATCATTTTCAACAGCTTATATAAATGCAGTATGATTTGAAGTTTATAAGAACCAAAAGAACTGCGGATTCTGTAAATCAGGAACAAAAACAAAGTTGCTGGAAAAGCTCAGCAGGTCTGACAGCATCTGTGAAGAAAAAAATCAGAGTTAACGTTTCGATTCTGAGGAAGGGTCACCGGACCCGAAATGTTAACTCTGATTTTTTTCTTCACAGATGCTGCCAGACTTGATTTGAAGTATTTTTGATCAAGTGTCAGTAGAACATTTAACAGTCATCATTGTAACCTAAGATTTAGGTTAGCTCTGGGAAAAGAACAAGGGACCAATTACAGTAAGAATAAATAACCAGTGAAAAGCCAGCTTCAATACAATTAGAATGAATCTGCAGTAGTTAAGTTGGAATCAAATCTTGATTGGCAAGATGGGAACTGAGCAATTGGCTGCCTAAAGGAGAGAGAATTTGGGCACAGTCAGGATATTCTGCCAATAAGGAGAACAGTAGTACAAAGAAAACCACAGCTTCCTAGATGATGAAAGAGATAGAAATTAAGGTGAAAAGTGTGCTTAGGGCAGATGTCAAGTGAACAATACAACTGAGAACCAGATTGAACATAGAAAATTCAGAGGGAAATGGAAAAGGTAAATAAAAGAAGCAAAGTGGGACGATGAAAAGGACTGGCAGCTAACACAAAAGTGAATCCCAAAGTTTTTCTATAAGCAAATAGATAGCAGAAGAGTGGTAAAAGAGTGGTAAAAGAAGGAGTGAGGCTGATTAAAAATGGAAAAAAAAAATTGAAGGGGCATAGCTAAGGTATTAAATGAATATTTTGTGCCTGTCTTTCCTTCACAAGTTCATGCTTCAGGACAAGATAAGTTTGAAAGGAGATTTGTTAGAGGCATTGAAGATCATAAGAGGTCTCAACAGAGTAGATGGAAATTAACTGTTCCCTTTGGTGGAAGAATTGAGAACAAAAGGGCACAGTTTTAAGATAATTGCAAAATAAGTAATGGAGACATGAGAAGAAACCTTTCCACACAGCAAGTGGTTAGGATCTGAAATGTACTGCTTGACAGTAGGAGGAGGCAAGATTAACTGGACATTCAAGAGAGAACTGGATTATCAGAAAACACAGATTTTGTGGTGCTAGGAGGACAAGGTGTGGAAATTTGCCCCTCAGAGAGCCATTACAGAATTGAAGGGCTGAATGGTCTCCTGTACTACATTAGTTCTGTGACTCATTGTTTTGAAATGAAGATTTTTGATAGGTCCTTAACCATTCAGAAGAAAAAATATGCAGTATTTGGAACTTCTGGCAGTAAAAGTTATTCTTTTTATGCTTTTAATGTTTCACTCACAAGTGTTGGTGACTGAAACATTATTTTTCTTTTAGCACTTACTATTACAAGGAAGGACTGCCTGTGTTAGGTAGCATTCAGCCAAATTTCCAGAAAGCTTGGTCCCTCCCTTAGACTTAAGAGAGCATGCACCAGTCCAAAGATGTGCAGGATAGGTGGATTGGCCATGTTAAATTGCCCATAGTGTCCAGGGATGTGTGGGGAAATGTAGGGTTACAGGGACAAGGTAGGGGTGTGGGTCTGGGTGGTATGCTCTTCGAAGGGTCAGTGTGGACTCAATGGGCCAAATGGCCTGCTTTCACACTGTAAGGATTCTATGATCACTGTAAAACCCAGTGCAAAACCTCCCAGATCCTGACTAATCATCTTTATACGTGATTTTGTGGAATCTTGACCTAATTTTCAATGTGATCAACTGTGCACAAGATCACATAAATTCATTTATTCTAGTTTCTTTACAGCCAGGCTTCATATTATAATTCTTGGTTTAACTTGAATGCAAGGGAGAAATGACCCTGATGTGAAATGAGTGAACAGAACAGTGTCAGATGGGCTTCAGTTTGGAGAAATGTGAGGTCATTCATGTTGGGCCTAAGAAAAATAAAGTGGTATTTTCTAAATGGTGTGAACTAAGAATTAAGAGATAACACAGTGTAGAGCTGGAGGAACACAGCAGGCCAGG